CCTTCCATGGTTGATGTAGAGTATGAAGGGGAAGACCTTGCCCTTGATCTAGGGTCCATCTTTGTTCTCATTTTTCTCTATCTCTTTTTTATTTTTTTTCATTTTTTTCTGCCTCTTTATTCAACTCCACCTCTTTCTCACTTTCTAACTCAACTCCACTCTTTTCTTCATTTCCTCCATTATCATTTTCTCTCAAATTATCGCCAATCCCCTTTCCTATCACCGTACCTCTCCTGGTTGTAATTGACTGACAATGCTCTTTAGGATTGACCTGTGTATTGGCAGAAAAATTTTTGCTTTGTTGATTTGCCAATTGCTTGGCTAGCTGCCCTATTTGAACCTCCAGATTTCTGATAGAAGCTTTAGTATTTTTCTGGTTAGTTGTGGAAACCTGCATAAATTGTGTGAGAGCATCCTCCATTTTTGACAACCTGTCTGGTTGATAAGAAGATTGATTTTGATATGGTTTCTGTGGAGGTTGCCTTTGTGAAGGCCCTGCCTCTTGCTTCCACCCAGAATACTGATTCTGATTATTCCTCCAGCCTTGATTCTGATTATAATTACCAGAGAAATTCCCTTGCCTTCCTGGATTGTTCATGTAATTAACTTCTTCCACTCACTGTGGAGCGCTGGGGTGACTGCCGAGAAGTTCTTCCCCCAAGGTTCGCTGAGCTTGGAGGATCAGGGGATGATCGAAGAGCTCGGACCCGTGGAAGGCTTTGACGCCGCTCAGGTTCTTCTGCAGAGGGCTATGGCCATTGTGGACCACTAGAAGCATAGGTGGTCCAAGCAGCAAGAGGACTTGGTCAGACTGAGGGGCCGAGTTCAACCCCTAAGGGACGAAAACAAGGTCCTGAAGGAGGAGAACAAGGTTCTTCGTGCCGCCCTCGGTGCAGCGAAGTTGCAGGGTGCCGAGCTTCGAGCTGCGAGGGGAGACTTGGCGAGGGTCCAGAAGTTGCTGGAGATTGCCCTGCGCTCCAATGAGAATTACGCCTCCCAGGTGAACGAGCTGCAGGAGCTCGCCGCCGCGTGCCGAGGTCGGGTGCGTTTCTTGGAAGACGAGGTGACGTCTTCCCGAGGTCGAGTTCGCTCCTTGGAGGATGAGGTGACCTCCCTGAAGGGCGAGCTGGTGGCGGCGG